TGTGTGCTGCCTAATACCATAGACAGACGACAGCCTTAATTTGCATTAAAAAATTCTTAATTTGAATTAATTTTTACCCCTGACAGACGAGAGTTTCTGCATTTACGAAGCAGTTTTTTGTTTCAAAACAATTGTTTGTCTGTGTGTATGAAGAATATATTGAAATATGTTTGCAATATTTTTCGGAATTACATCTTTATAAAATAGATACATGACATAAAGGGAAAATAGCGGCTATGATGTTGGCAAAAGATGTCCCAATATGAAAGATTGTTGAAATTTGCCTTTATTTCTCTTATTTATTTTCATAAACGTAAACAAATTTGACAACAATCAATTGATTTTCGACAGCATTGCCATATTGAAATTCCTTTATTCAGTATAAATTCAGTTTGATTTTGTGCATTAACAACACATAAAAATGAGGATAATGTACAATTTAATTTGAATTAAGACTGTTAATGCAAATAAAGGCTGTCGTCTGTCTAGGCTATAAGAATATAAATTTTAATTAAAAATATAGAAATATAGAAATTTTATATTAATAATAAAGATATAAATTATGTATGCTGAAAAGTGTATAAATGGAATTAATATAATATTCATCAATACTAAACCTGTGTGTGAAATAAAAGTCCAAAATTTTTAAAATTTTCATATTCGTATTAATTGGCTACACAAGTGAATAACAAAAAGAAGTGGGCATTGTTAAAAAAAACCTATTAGCAAAGTTTTTTTCATTGATTAGCCTACGTTATTCCTGTTGTTGTAATAGTGGGAATCTTTGTGCATACGACAGGGATGCGAAATGAAATTATTGAAATTGTACTGGCTTTCAATAAAATGTGTACTTTTTTCAGGCCGATTGTACTTTTTATATATTTTTAATAAACATTTTATTGTTATTATCAATTAATAAAAACATACATAAACCAGTGAGCGGAGCAGTATAGTCGGACGGGGCCGATGATATCCTAGACTACTTCCATGAAAATCTAACTTTCTGGGTTTCTATATTCTGATCTTGGCAATATTTCGCGATATTTCCACCCTCTTGACCGACTAGAGGTCAACAAATATTACTTATAATTAGTACAGATTCTCTTCAAGGTGGGTTGTGGCCTATAGATCGACTCGAAAAAACATCAAAAATAAGTTTACGGTCTAAAAATTATAATCTGATCATCACCGAAAATTATAGCCGTTGTAGTTGACCATACCTGGATCCTCATGGAAAATTTAAAAGCGATCAGAGCTATATTTCTGCCATCTAGTGTGGTAATGGGTTACTGAATACCATATCAATACGTAACCAGCTGCAAATATTTAAGTGTATCTCCCACATCCGAGTACATACGACAATATTATTGGTATCAATTCAAAGGTCAACCACTCCTCTTGGATATACTATCAACTTCAGGGGTAAATTTATACGCCATAGAATACAAATTTTGACATTTTTCACACAAAAGTCGGGTCCATTTAATCCGCTAAATATTGACCGATCTTTATGAAAACAGGCATGCTTATTCTATGGCCCGATTCACTTCTCCATGTAATGTTCGGACCATAATTGCGGCCTCTAGAGCGACCAGAAAAACCGACAAAAATTTAGTATTTGGTCCATTACATCCCCTAAATATTAACCGATCTTTACCAAAAACAATAGGGGCCTTCATTGGGCCGAACCTATCCTACATGCAACATTTCGTGAAGATTGACCCATAACTGTGGCCTGTATCGTGTATACAAATTATAATGGACAGACGGATGGACGGACACACATGTCTAGATCGGTATACTTAAAGGTGGGTCTAGGACCAATATTTCGCGGCGTTACAAACTTTTGGGGCTGCACAAAGCTATAAAACCCTGACAACATAGATGTGTAGGGTATAAAAATACAAACATAATATGAACACCTAAAAATTAACAACAACAAAAAAGTCTTATATATAATATGATCAATTAAATAAAACTTTTTTGCAGCATATTCGTATGTATCGTAAGAGCACGACTTCAACAAATCCTTCGTTTATATAAGATTTGACGCAGTCGTAACATTTAATCTGTTCCTTTCTTTGATTTTAATTATATTTTCATATGAAAATGCCCTTTCCACATTTGATAGTTTCTACATGCATTCAGGCATCCTCAGACCGCATTTCTAAATTGATATTATTTGAAATTTTGTTACTTGTTGTAAGAACAAAAATAACAGTTTGTAAAAAGGATTTTCAAACCCTTGAAATAATAGAATTGAACCTTAACTTTTGTAAATCAGCTCCGAAATCAATGAGTGTAAAATAATATTGAAGTGATTCCCACTGCCCAAAATCATTTCAATAGCTTCTTGACGTAAACGCCATCGTTTATAAATAACATGAATATCTGTACCGAAATATTCCTGAAACTTTGAAAAATCACTCCTCTCATAGAACTGTTACAGAAACAATAATTAATAGTTTTACTGAATATATCAATCTGATCGGAATACTGAATTTTAAAGCGGCATAGGACACTAAGTTTAAACTGTAGCATATTGATCTATTCGTAACTACAGCGGTGGATGGTGATTCACTTCATATTGTATGTTTAAGCACTTATAATAATTTTATGTGAAAATAATTTGATACAATTTAAAAATAGTGCTAAATAAGTCATTGGGGTGCTATTGTATTTTTGACTTCCAAATAGTGCTAAAATTAGTACAATTGTACCAACTTTTGCATCCCTGGCATACGACCATACTTTCCTTGTGATATGATTTCTTAAAAGCAAAAGTGTAAGAGTAGACAAATCAAAGAGTGTGAAATACAGCTATGAGAGAGAATAAAGAGTGAATGTGTAGTCACAAAAAGGTTAACGGAAAGGAAAAACATAACGAAAGCGAGGAAAGAAATGAATCAAAACAAATATGAAGCAAAATCAAAACAAAGGCTAATTTGAATCAAAACATAAAAGAAATATAGAAGCAAAACAAAAGAATGTTAATGATTGTGGATTTAACGGCGAATCAACGTTGCGATTATACTTTAAAGTGGAAAAGCAAATAAATTCTGATTTTGTGCCCAACTATGAGGAGTAAAAACCACCATACAGAAATCCCTACTTTGCCGCTGTCATCTTATGATATATCTATTTTTGGATTTGTGCCGATAAGTGAAAAATTGTCTTATTTCTTTATAATAATAAAAATATAGTTTGGGAGAAAATTAATCTATGGGATCGTAAGAAAAACATTTTTTCCGTGAATAATTATTCTGCACTGGTCTGTTCTGGTCGAACAATTCTGCACTTTACAAATTGAGGTCCTAGTTTAGCGTTAAAGTTCCTTTTGAAGTCACTTTGCTGAAAGCTACGACGATATACCTCCTGCCCCGGTACAAATTTCACTTTCCTAGATCGCACGTTGTACTTTTTTTCATTTATTAGGTATGCTCGGTGGAGATTCTCTCTTATTTTCTCTGAGTATTTCTAATTTTGTTGTTTGTGGAAGGACATTGGCCTCCGGATCCTGCAGAACCTTAAGCTTTCGCGCTAGAGCATATACGCTACCATGCTTCACCATGTTCATTCCAAAAAGGGCGAAATATGGAGTGACACCTATTGCGGAGTGAACAGATGATCTCAAAGAACACTCTATCTCTGACAAATATTTATCCCATTCTGTCTGACTATCCTTTAAGTATGAACGTATGGCTGATAAAATGCTTTGGTTGACTCGTTCAGAAGAGTTAGCTTGTGGCGAATGAGTTACTGTGCGTACGTGAGAGATACCAAAGTTTGTCATAAGGTCCTCAAATTCCTTTGCCACAAATTGTTGTCCATTATCTGAAATTAGTACTTCGGTTGTTCCGAACTTGTGAAATACCTCTGATATGAGGAATTTAACAACATTTTTACTACTGGCTTTATTCATAGCCTTAAGAAGAACGTACTTGCTAAGATGGTCAAGGACAATGAAAATATAAGTGTTGCCGGCCTTTGAACGCGGATAGGGACCTAAAAAATCTACAAAAATTCTTTGAAAAGGTCTCTTCACATTGGCTTCCTTGCCCATGGGAGGACGTAGCGTTATGTTGGCTGATTTAGACTCTTTACATACTTGACATTTAAGTACGAAATCTCTAACTTGCTTATTCATAAGGGGCCAATAAAAATACTCCTTGATTCTTTTTAGGGTTTTATGAAAACCACCATGTGCGGCCACTGGAAGACAATGGGCTTTTTCGATAATTCCATTGGTTAACTCCAATGGAATCCACTATTTCCAAGCGAAATCTTCATTTGTAGGTGAGCCGTCGTAAAATTGTGTCCTTTTGTAGACAAATCCATCTATCACTTTGATATCTGGCAAACGATCCGCGTTCTTACTGACGTTATCTATAAGATCTTTATAGTCCTCGTTTTGAAAAGCTGATGAAGAAAGGTCTATTAAAGCATCTACATTTACCGACAACTCTTCCATATCGTATCTTGATAGCGTATCCGGTACTACGTTCATGGACCCTTGGCGATGTTCTATATCGAAAATAAATGACTGTAAATGAAGACTCCATCGAGCCAATCGCCCACTTAAATCTTTATGCGACATTAGCCACTTCAGGCTACTATGGTCGGTAATAATCGTAAATGGCATAAGCTCGATGGAGTAGCACTGCTCCGATTCCCAGATCAGAAGCATCACACTGCACATAAAAATGTTTAGAAAAATCCGGATGAGTCAGGACAGGGCTAGTGATTAATGCAGTCTTGAGTTTTTCGAAAGCTATCTTTGCCTCTTCAGTAAAATGGAAAACTTTTCCCTTCTTTAAGGTACCGAAAATGGGCGCGGCGATCATTGCGTAATTTGGTATGAACCTACCACCCTGTTGCCCCCGTAAAGCTGTGTACCTATTTCGCGGTTTTTGGAAAACAAAAACGAGTTATTGTCTCAATTTTTGCTGGGTCTGGTTTGAGTTCATCACCTCCAACTATGTAGCCTAAGAATAAAAAGAAAATGTCTACCCTTAAGGCCACGAATTTTCAATACCCTTTTATTCCAGGTTTATGGGCTGTCCGTCCGTCGAAAGTAATTATCAATAAGTTTGGAGGTAAGTAATGAGTTAAAGTCAATAGCTCGTTTTACACCATATCAGTTTTATATTCTTTTATTTTTTAGGTACCTCAACATCGCGGAATGCCTGGTGCTCAACAGCGGATCCAACGATGGGCAGAGGAGTCGGGATCGGTGGTCCAAATATCGTTAGCGATGCTGGCAAAGGTGTTTGGTGCTGGATTACTTCCTTTTGTTCAACAGTTATTGAGCTTTTTTCTCTTTTTGTGCAATAAAGGCAATAAATAGTTTTAAAATTTTGTTTTGTGATATGCGGGTATTGTTACACCGATTGTATTTAACGTGGTTAAAAACTTTTTCGTGTTGCTCGATCTACTTCCTGCTGCCAAGAACTCCAGAAATAAAAAGAAAGAACCTTGAATATTTTACATGGCTTATTGTGGCTCCCTATTTCCAATATGTTTTCCACATTTAAAATTTCCCTTTTTGAAATGACAGGATAAACAAACCATATGTCACTTGCTGTGACAGACAAAATTATACGTGTTTCGGTATGTGGCGTATAGATGGCGTGAGTACGCACATGACAATTGGATGAACAAGTCAAGACAGAAGACGTAGAAAAAGCTTTGGTATGAAAATGTCAGAATCTAAAGTCAAAATAACAAATTTCCTTAACTTTAGAATTTAGATATTGAATGGACTAACGAATACATCTTTAGAAAATATGTCGGGAAATGCCTTAAAGCGGCTTCTATGCCCAGCAAAATGTAGCTTTTCTTGTTTGACATGGAATTACTGATCATCACGTCTCATTATTTTTTTAATACAGAATGTACAATGGTCAAATTTCCCACGCGAGGATAACCGATTATTTTATTGTCGTCAAAAAGTGTTTCCAATATGCAAAAGAACTAACAGCGGAAACTTTAAGTCAAAATAAACGGTAAATTTTTTATTCTATTTTGTTTCATCAGTTTGAAAAAATTCGTTGTCGTGTATGAAAAAATGACTTCGCCAGCGGTTCGTTTTCGTGCCGTTTTTCTTATAGGGTTGTACACCATTGAAGCAAAAAGGCGAACAAGCATGAACGACAGTATTGGCCGAACGAACTGTCGTGAACGAGTGAACGAAAAGGAATGACCTAGTTCATTTTGCGGAGCTCACCAAAAAAGATCGAACCGCTCATGGAACTAGTATGACCAAATCTAGTGCTATGCAGGATTACGTTATGCACAGTTTTGCTTCCATGCTGTTGTTTTTTCCAGTTATGAACCAATTTCTAAATGATCATATAAGTAATTTCAACAAACCAAGCGAGAAATTTAATACCAGGTTACTCTTCACTAATAACATCTCGTTTGTGTTTTTCAAATTCACATGTACCACAGCATGATTCAACATAGCGGGGAGATGCATCAACAATATCTGCCCACAACTGACACAAACGCTAAATAAATGGGGACCCTACAAAAAATGGAATGCGGAATTATCATTCAACATTCTAAAACAAGCACATAGACAATACAGTATCGGCCAAAACCTAAACAACGTATCACTACATTTTTTAAATGATATTTTTTATGAAAACAAAATTATACAACTTGTTTTTATTTTTCTTATTATTCATATCATTACATTATAACCCAGCGAGCCCGTCCAATCTTTACACGTTTATATTTTTATTAAATTTTGATTACAATTATAAACTACAATGACATTAATTTTTTTTTTTTAAATGCATGCTTATGCGTATAATGTTATTTACACCCAATGTTAGGTACATGTATGTACATATTTCAATGAATTTTACCATCTACTCTTACGGAAAACATACTCCGTTATTTTTACGGAAACGATCGTTGTTTATCTTTCTGGGATTATAAGTTTTATACCATTTTTGTGCCAATGCTGTGATAAAGCTTATAAGTCGAATAAATTCATTTTACGAAAAATTAAAATAACGATTGCATCCATTTTCGTTGTTTTCAATTGAAACACGTGTAGGTAAGTTTCTTGCGTATTTGGGCAATACTGACTTTCAACGCATTGAATTAGGTTCGAGGCAAATGTACAAAATTTTGCAAGAAATTCAAAAATTTTAAAATGGTGTATTATTTAATGGGAATGCGAGACGGGACTACGGATACGGTATCCTAATGGAAACTGTAAATATTATCTTAATAAAATTAAATTAATTAAACATAATCCAGATCTGGACCACTTACACCACATTTACACAATTTGGCATGGAGAGCATAATTACCATAATCTTGTATAATAATTCTTCCACTGTACGAGATCAACCGTGGAAATACCTTGACCGCATCCACTTTTAGCTATAAAAATATCTTACCACCTATTCTCATACCTACATAATCTAAATGCAAACTTTTATCAAAATCGGTCAAGCCAATTGAAGTTCTCTCCTGGCCTGTCCAATTCCTCAATTATTTACTCAAAAATCAAATAGAAGCTTGGCAAGAAGATTTAGTTGAATGCGGAAAAATAATCTGGAAAGCAATATCGCCAGAAATTATTAATAATTTAATATCCTTTGTACTTAAAAGATGTTCGACTGTCCTCCAGAATAAAGTATACACAATTTATTTATGATTTTATAATTTTTATATATATATATATATTTTTTTAATTGGGGTTGCTTTAATTTTGCCTGCTTTAATTTGAAACTTACAAGGTTTTCTGATTTTTAAAGATTTTTTCATAAAAAAATTATCATTTAAAAAAATGTACTGAGGGGTACTTAGGTTATGACCGATACTGTATATACGAACTAAAGAGGGTTATAATTCCTTAGTGCAATAAATAGCTGCGTTCCACACATACTTTTTTCTGTAGTTAAATTCAGTTAAGTTTTCATATCCTTTAAATTGAATACTCTTAATTTATTTGGGCCTATTCATTTATTAAGCAAAGTCAATGTTTGATTTCATGTTAATGATGCAACGTAAGTCCGATCGACCATTCCCACATACAGCCATATCCAGCATTAAACCAGAAAGGAAAGTTCAAAAGTAGGACGGACATACTATATGATACCCTTCACCACTTTGGGTACATACAAGAAATGCTCATATGTACAATATCCTCTAACCAGAATAGACATAGCATTTTGAGAGGACCATTTAAATATAGTCGGGCAAAATTAACTGTGTGAACTACATAGATATTTGAACTAATTTATAACAGCCCATAGACATACCCTTCTGAAATCTATGAAAAATGTAATTTAAGCAACCGTGGCATCCACTATTTCGTATGTTGCATCACATTGCGCTGTCCAAAATTTATCTCGATCGGAGAAACGTTTATTATTTGGTACCCAATTTGTATGAATTCAGAATATATATATATATATGGGCAATATTGCCAATTTTTTTAGTTTTGGGTTAATTGATCTGTCGTTGCAAACTGTTCATGATATTTACCTCCAAACTTTATTTTGGTGGAAGCTCTGTCTACTTTAATGTAAAAAAATGTGTAAAAACACGTTGAGGCGAACCAGTTTTTTATGTTCTCTATCGATTTGTGACTAAGCCACTCATTGCACGGTCTTCGTGTCAAAATAAAACTAGAAGCCAAAGAAAAAAGGGACTACGCCCCTTATGTGTCATTTTTCAAAATTTTCACTGCATCTACCTTTAAATGATGCTGATATTTTGAAGCTCGATTTTGAGTGTTTTTTTATTTTTACTTCTAGCTTTAATACGCAAACAGGAATTTATAAAAATCGATTATAAGATTATTGTAGTCGCGAATCTGCGTAATTTGATATGTAGTTTGTGTATGTAGTATGCACAGCTTCAGATTAATACTCATCCGAAGGTGCGAATTTTGTGCGATCAAATTTCTAAAAAACCTATTTTTCGGGCCAAATTTTTAAACCTGTCAACTGAATGATATGGGTACCCGCGATCAATAAGGTTTTTTACGTTTCGGATGATATAAAATCTTCTTCGTGAAAATCCATCTACTAGAACGGCGGGAACTGGCCTTCCAAAAACACGAAATTTGGCAAAAAATGTTTTTGAAAATATCGTGGATTTATTTGCGTTTTCGGTACATCTTAGCCGTCAAATGAAATTTCGCAAAATATATATGGATTGGAAGATAAACTTCAGTATGTCCTGGAAACCGCATGCGCATCAAATGATTTTGAGAATTACGCGATTTAGACGCAATTTATCTCAAAAATAGTGTGAGCTGGCACATCCATGTTTCTTAATGGACCACATTGAAATCGGTATAGATCGATGTATTTTTTTAGGGTGCACTCCGAAATCGGATGCTCGTTAATGGCATATGGAGTTTTCGGAAATTATTCGCGTTTTACGATTTTTTGGGTACTTCAATGGAACGTGTGGTACATCTTAGCCGTCAAATGAAATTTCGCAAAATATATATGGATTGGAAGATAAACTTCAGTGCTTCCTGGAAACCGCATGCGCATCAAATGATTTTGAGAATTACGCGATTTACACGCAATTTAAAATGTATATTTCATAATGCTATTTTATTTTAAGATTTATTCCTATTTATAGAACCCTAAGATTTATCGGAAGGGTCTTGGTATAATCCGCAAGGCGTATACTTATACACAAAACGTGATTATTGTTATAAATGTAAATTTTTCGTCGAAATTCGGGTAAAATAACAGAAAAACCCCAACATTTTTTTCTGAAATTTCTTGTATAAAATTAAAAAAATGGCATTATTTTTTCGAACCAAAAACAAATATTTTTCCTCAATATCTTGTTTTGTTGTCGCTGTGATTTAGAAACCGCTACACGGACTTGTGTGATTTTGATATCATTTGATTCATCATGGTGTTTAGATTATGTAGATATTTTTAAATTAATTTTTAAATCTGCTATATTTTTGTTATTCTTCTCATATTTCGCGAATATGTGCTACTTGATCGTGATTCTTATAATATATTCATATTCTTATTTTACGGAGGAAAATATATATCAACGTTTTTGGTCAATATAATAATCGGCGTAATTTTAAGATTTTTTTCTTATGCCCAAAATTAAAACCTCGATAACTTTTGCGCGCATCAACCAAAAATTTGATCGCGAACGGTGTCGGAACATTTTTCTCTATATGTGTACCAAAAATCATTTATGTGCCACAAAAACAAAAAAGCTGATTTTTTGAAAATGGAATATTAAAAAATTGGCAATATTGCCCATATATATATACTAGCGGGCCCGGCAAACGTTGTCTTGCCCATTTTAGATTTGTTTGTATATCCTACATCATAAGGTGGGGTGTACAGATCTTTG